CAATCTTATGGCCCCTGCCTCCCGCTGCTACTTGCCTGTGAGAATTAATGAACTAAAGTATTATAATTTGACTAGATAATGGGTTTCTTCCAAAGATTAATGCTGCTACACTAAACTGTAAACTCAGAAACTATTTATTAGCTGAAAATTAAACACTGATGATTCTAAACGTGAAAAACAATCAACCATACAACATGTACCTTCTAAGTTCTTCATCCCTCAATTTGGCATCAATCTCTTTACTGGGAGGATATTTGGGCAATCTTGAAGGATCACAAGCAAAGGGTTGTGTTGTAAAGAACTGTTGCAAAAATAAAATTACAATCAGAACATCAAGCCAATGAAGTCTCAACATAGAGGCAATACAAGAAGACTTTGAGGGCGCAGTCCTGGATCAAAATACAATATTCATACATGTGAAAAAGACATTCATTAAAATCTCTTTCAAATACTCTAAAAGACACTGCTACTTATGTCTTTCATACTACACCAGTTTTTCACATTATTCAGAAGTCGTCTGTATCTATTGAATTAACTATTTTACTACAACCCCAAGAAAAATAATCAGCATACCTCATTGTTAAGAGCAAAAGCTGCAGTTCCTCTAAGAGCAGGATCTACGGACAGTAATGTCTCCATAAGCCCCAAAGCAGTTGCAGGAAAGTCTTTAAATGTTTCTGCAACACGCTTTCTATAAGGTTGTACAGGCTTGAACACTGTTGAATAAGGTAATTTTGATTTTCTCCAATAATCTTCCGATGGTGATCCACATAGTTTAAAGATCCTATGCAACTGCTCAACCTGTAAGGTATATATGATTCAATTTACTGGCATCATTTATATATATGTGGAAGAAAAAGAGGTCAAGGACAAGGAAGAGAAGAGAACAGTGTTGCATAGGCGATGTCCTAATGCTTCATGATCCCTATTTCTGTAAAATAAACATGCAAAGCTCACTGCCCAAACATGTGTCCATTTACAAATACACCAACCAAACTTATCAAGTACTCATCAATACTAATCTAGGTGTTTGCTTTTTCAGTTACTTCTGCTTTTCTATTCTGGGCATAAAATCAACATGTTTCAGTGTGATGCATGAAGACGCAAAATGGATTCCTAGGCATGGTACCTCTGTTTTCCCAGGTAGTATAGGCTTCCTGGTGAATAATTCCCCAAGAATGCAACCAGCACTCCATAAGTCTACTGCAACTCCATAATGGGAGGCTCCAAGCAAAAGCTCAGGTGGCCGATACCAAAGAGTCACCACGCGGCTGGTCATTGGACTGCTATCCTTGGGATTGAAAAAAGTTGCTAAGCCAAAATCCGCAATCTTTAAGACACCATTATTGTCAATAAGAAGATTTGAACCCTTTATGTCACGATGCAAAACACCATGGCTGTGACAGTGTTCAAGTCCACTTAGCAGTTGCTTCATGTAGCATTTAACCTAACGAAAAACAAATTAACATGAGAATTTTAGAAACTACTATACAAGGACACAAATACAACAATCCAATTGCAAAATTAAGGAAACTGCGGCTCCCATGCTGAATCTGCAGCATAATTATATTTTTTTTTAAATCAACAGTAGTAAATGAAAATCCCGTTGAAGAACAGCCAAAGTCCGGAGAACTTCCAAAAAAGATTGTAAGAATACCTGAGGCTCTGTGAACTTCATGCCAGGAAGTGATGCGAGTCCCATGAGATCATGTTCCATATACTCAAAAACAAGGTACAAGCTGCAAGCTGTCTGGGATGTGATCAAGCCTTCCAATTTAATTATATTTGGATGATCAAGTTTGCGAAGAATAGCAATTTCCCTAGCCATAAACTTGACACTCTCAGGATCATTTTTATCAAACCGTACTTTTTTCAAAGCAACAATTTTATCATGAATGACATCCCGAGCCCTGTAAACACTACTGTAAGTTCCTTGGCCAATCTGCAAGATCAAAATACCATGATGTCTGGTGAGCCATATGCAATCACAATCGAATCTACTACAGAGGATGTTTCAAAGAATAAATAAGATTTAGTGAATGCATTCATCTAGCAATAGCAATTTTCGCACTTCACAAAACAAAATGAAAGCAAATAGAGCATAAAGTCAAGAAGGAAACAAACCTTATCCAATTTCTCAAACGTATTTGCACGTCGTGGTATCCATCCCTTGATGGCATCACCAGCCGCCGCAGCAAGCCAAGACGGCCACCCTGCCGCCAACTCTTCTGCTTCTGCTGCTTTAGGCAATCTCCCCATGCTAGGATGATTAATTACAGTCACTTGACAATTTTCAATCCTCTTCTTCTCAATTTGATCATCAATCATCTTTTTTCTCTCAATTTGTTCCTGAATCATCTTTTTTCTCTCTATTTGATCATCAATATTTATCGTCTCAATCCCATGATTATCGTAATAGCGGTTGGAACCATTGACTTTCTTGTCAATCAACATAACCTTGACATCATTATTCTCAAGTCTATCTTTTGATCCAACAATCTCCTCCCTTCTGGATGAACTCACATGCTTATTCAATGACCCTTTTTGATGAAGTCTCTCTCTTGGACTCTCGCGGCTGTCTTCAACAGGTGTAGGCTTAGAACACAAACCACCCATGGTTCCAAACAAAGAAGTTAGAAATAAACCCAGAAAAAATCAACACTTTCTCCTTCACAAACAAACTAAACCCAGTCCTAAACTTGCTAAAACTCCACCCTTTTGAATCTCCATAAACAAGAATCAACTCAAAGACCAATCTTCAAAGGACATTTGAGAAACCATATAGCAAAAAATGACTACAAAAACAAGAAAAAAATGATTAAATTATAATGAAAAGTTAAAAATGATTGAGAAAGGAAGACTTAATCAGCAAGAAAGAGAGGAGGAGGGGTTTGGGACTGTTGAACGCGTAAACATAATTACACTTGCAATTAACACAGACAAATAGAAATTTATTATATATTATAGAGACGGCCTTTGCCGGCAAAGCAGAGGTTCTGAGTCAACATAACAAATCCACTTTCTCTATCTAGACGGGAGTTTCAAACATTGAGTATAGTTTGGTTTGGGTTTCAAAAGTGAAGCTGAATTGAGGTCGTTGATTTGCCGTTATGCTAACAACTTCTCAATTACTATTTCATCGAAAATACTGTTGCTCCTTTTGAATGTAAAAAAGGTCAAGATAATTTTATTTTCTAAACTACGTGGTGAACACACCAATGGTTTGTTACAAAACTTTGACCACACTCGATCACATATTCATATCAATAATGCTTGAGTTACCGATTAAGGTACCGATTTGACATACTGATTAAGTTAAAATTTGAGATTTTGAGAATTGGGCAAGTGCATCGGTATGTGAAAATCAGTAATTTACTCGGTAAACGTAGTATTACTGTATTCATATATCCACTTAGTTTTAATTATCAACTCAAAAACCTTTATTTAGTTCATGCAGTTTTTTATTTTAAAAGAGATTATTGATTATATAAATTACATAAAGTTTTTAGTAAATTTCGTAAAGAGATTTTGATTTATTCAAATAGGGAAAGTATATGGACCTGGTCTTCATTGTGGTCCTCCATTCATATTTTTATTTAACCTCAACAAATTACTGATAAATCAAACATGTTTATTATTTGAGGAGTTTGTGAAATTAATTTAATGTGATGTTAAACGTTTACGCTTCAGTATACACATATATTGATATATATAGTTAGATGAACCAACTCCCTTTAAAATTCATAATTCTAGCAGCTCCACCTACACCTAATTAAGCTAAGCAACTGTGCTCCCAATTAAAATATGGATTTAATGTTGCATTAGTTACACCAAAATTCAACTCTAACTATTTATTTATTACTTTGCATAAACTTCATTAATACTTAAAATTATTTTAGATTAACAGATTTCACCACAAATTTGAATATTTATCCGATTTTGACATTTGGATAAAGGCGAATATAAATGCATATACAATTATACGAATTTATTGGATATCTCCAAATCTTGGATTTATTGGGATACCCAAAAAAAGTAACGTTAAAAATATTGTGTATTAAGTTTTTGATAATGCTAATAATGCAAAATTAAAGCTACAGCTAAACGAGCCCTGGAATAATTGTTAAGAGGTTAACGAAGGAAGAAAAGAAATAAATATTAATTATGAGCAAGTGGGCACAAACAAAAGTAGGTTCAGGTTCCATTCAAAGCTATTCCGTATTCAATTAAAATTTGGGGTCACTCCTCAGTTTTATTTGATTTAAGATTTGGCCTATACAAATCATGCATATGTATAATTTCATTTTTGTCCGTTCAAAATGGGATTATAATTCTTTAGTTAAAAAGAAATTTGATTTAGCACATAGTCTAGTCAGTGGAAGTAGATGATTTATGACCAATTCGAAGAAATTTGTTGATGCCAAAAGAAATAACTATAGATAGATACTCAACTTGTATAAACTGAAAAGGTCAAATAACCCTAATATATTAATTACATGTTATCAAAGCTTCTTGATTAAAACAGGCACCGATAGGAATTGTTAAAGCTTTAGCTAGACCGTGTCTACATTCAAACACAATAAATATTATGATTTAATTTGGCAGTAATATAATTCACTTTCCTTTCCTTTTCCTTTTATTTGATGAATATTATATTTAGATGAATGATAAAAACATATTCCATTATTATATTTGGAAGCAATGAATTTTGAAAGAGAAAAATCGATTTATCTCCTTTCCTTTCCTTAATTTTCAATCAATGGTCACAAATTTTAGAAATAATAATTTCTTCTGTATTAACTAAATTTTTAACTCAAGAAAAGTTACTCAATATAACTATTGATATCTTTACATAATTCATGTTGATCTCACAACAGAGTCCAAAATATTCTTGAAAATGGTTTCAATAATTTCTGTCTTTTTAAGTAATAGAATATAATAACCGACAAATTTCACAAAACCCGCCAAACCCAACTGCCATAAACACACATCCCAATAAACCCCTTCCCTCTTTGCTCTCTTGATCTTCAATCCAGTTTCCAGATCAGATTCCTCTTTTTATCTTTATTCAATTCAATTACCCTCTCATTGAAACTCCCAATCAAGACAATGCATTGCATTAATTCTTTATTTTATATCTTCTTTTAGCACGAACAAGATCATCAGGATTACAGTTGGTTTCTGGTTGGAACTTAGATTAGACTTGGTCTTCTATTGACTTTTCATTCTTCTTACATTATGCCTCACGTTGTAGATTCTTGAAACTTTTTCTTACTTCCTCGGCGGGTTCATTTTTTTTTTTTTTTTCAAAGAACTTTTTGGATCAAAGTATGAGTAGAAGGAGATCATCATAACAAGTGAGGTAAAGCTTGTTCATTGAGTTGACTTGATGGGTTCATATATCTTCTCTGTGATCTGCGTTCTCCATTCATTGTTTGCAATAACATGCGGATCCTTAATAATGTTCTATCTTAAAGAAACATATGTCTTTGGTTTGGGTGTTGAGACGGCTAGAAGGCTTTCAGGATCAACCCCTCATGATGAATTGTTGCTCCAGATTTCCAATTCTTTTGCGGGTTTGCTTCTATTTGTTGTTGGATTTTTGCTGCTGATGGTGGCCTCTGTTAAGGACATGGAGTTCCAGTGGTTTTTCGCTAAAGGGTGCATTCTTTTACATGTATCAATGGCTGTTTGGAGGATTGCTTTTGAGAGAAAGCTTGAAGATTTGGCATGGGATTGGCCAAGGCAGGTAATTGGGGATTTTTTACTGGCGCTTTCTTGGGTCTTCTTTTTGGTGAAAACATGGAGAGACAAGTATGATTAGTTTCTACTCATAAATTCGAAACCAGATCAAAGGTTTTGAGTTTGTGATCTCAGTTTTAATGTATTAATTCTGGTGTTTTGAGGCTTTAGTAAATGATTTAAAGCAATTTTGGAGATGTGTTATTACTTGCTTTTAGTTGACAAGATATTGAATGTTGAGAAAAGTCAGGTGGCTGAGCTTCCTGGCCAACTGTATATTGTTGTAAAGAATAAATACACCATTGTTGGGCAATTGCATTAAAAACCTCCATTGAAGGTCTTTGTTAATGAATTTATGGAAAACTCTTAATGTGTCGGTTCATAATCAACTCTATAATGTAACAGTAGTGTTGTGCTTTCTTATGCCTGGAAAAGTAGGGCTGAGGCAGAACCATATCAGCATAAGCGGTCAGAGCTTAGGTAAGTCTTATAGCCATTCAGACGCAGCCACGTCGCATGTTGACGTGAGCGGCATGCTCCTGCCAGTGCAGTGGGTGCTCGCCAGACTGGTGAAAGGCTGGAGAAGATCCACGTGTCCAATACCTGCACACATCGAGTAAATCACTCGAGCAAGTGAACAACGGGATGCAAGGAAGGATTTGCACAGCAACCTGACCCACTCACAGATTTAGTGACCACTACCATAACTCATCCCACTATAAATAGAGGGTTCCTCTCCCGCTTGTGGGATTAACTAATTTTTCCCTGGAATAGCATATACTCTCTCTCTCTCTCTCTCTCTTGTAATCTCTTGTAAGTCAGCTCGTTGAATGCGACCTGATCTCATATATTAATACAATACCAGTGGACGTAGGATTCGCTTACTTAAGCATCTGAACCACTTTAAATACTGTTCTTCATCTTTTATTCAGTTTAATAGCCTCATACACGTGTGTCTTCTGAGTCAGCTCTGCATTTCCCACGTGCGTTTAGTTGGTGTCAAAATCCCGCATCAACAGTTTGGCGTTAGGAGGGCCTGATTTAGTATTCGTCCTTTATCAGGAGGATCTCTGACTAATCGGTCCCACAAAAGCAAATGACTCGCTGATTCGAATCTGAGCGAACCAATCATGGTGAGGATCCCCCAGGTACAAGAAGACATTTCTTCCGAAATGCCCCCAGTCCCGCAAAATCTCATGGGGGATATCCCTTCAAGCTCACGGCTTGATCCAGCCATCATGAGCTACCTGGAGAGGTTCAACAATACTCTCCAAACGGTCAACAAAAGGCTGGACTGCTTGGCTCGGGTCATGCCATCTGAATCAAATGAGGCGGTGCCACCGCCAAAAACGTCTGCAGGTCGCATGAAAGCGCGGAAAAGGGCGATAGCCCGTGCAGCGCGCACTACAGCGCGCCAAAGAAAGGGAAAGCAGGTGGCAAACAACTGACCTAAAGGCTCCGAGGGACCAGCGAACACCGACCGCACCCCGGGTAGAAAACCCGTGGCGGAAAGACTCGGTGACATGTCGCGGCCTGAGCTGTCCCGTGCCACATCTCGCGAGCACTCCCACAAAAGTGCAAAGCGGGGAGATTCTCATTATCGCCAAAATGACGACTCTAATCGTCGTCACGCGGGAAGTTCCCACCGTCCGCAAGTCGGTTTGCACTACCGCGGAGGTCGGGAAGGTTCCTCTAACCAGTCAACGCCATCGCACGACTCTAGCCAGTGTGTGTCAAGAGCGGTCGAAACTGTCAGCCGAGGTGAGGAGGAATCTGACCTTTGGACTTTCCTCAACCGCAACCGCGAGGGTCGAACCTGCGTTGGGGAAAGTAATCCCTAGATGGCTCCGCTGCCTCAGATTAAGGGGTGCAGCAAGCTCTGGATCAGCTAAAGGCTTAGCAAAATGAGCGAGGGTAGGTCACAGAGGCGTTTCCCTTTTCTCCAGCTGTGTTAGCCACCCCTCTCCCATCCAGATTCAGAATGCCTAATATGCGGGTGTTTGATAGGAATTCTGATCCGCATGATCATTTGTACGAATTCAACGACCTGATGGAACTTCACCAAGTTTCTGACTTGACAAAATGTTGTTGCTTGCCAGTAACTCTAACTTCACATGCCAAGCGATGATTCATGTTGCTCTCGGCGGGATCAATCAGCTCGTGGAATCAGATGAGTTCGACATTCTTGAGACACTTCCAAGCAAACAGGAAGTTCTCAATGCCTTTGAGCTACCTCAACAACATAAGGCAAGAGAGGGATGAATCCCTCCAATCTTACATCGACAGGTTCCATAGGAAACTCCATAAAGTAGCTCATACTCCCGAAGAGTCTGTTCAAACTCTTATCATAGCGGGAGTTCGTCCACAGACAGATTTGTGGAAAGAGTTACAGTCAGAGGACGATGTTTCCCTTACCCGCTTCTATAGCCTTACAGAGACATACCTCTGTATTGAGAACTCCGTGGCAGCACTCAACCGCCATGACCCCGATCCTTCGGGCAGTGCGCCAAGTCAGGGGGAAAATAGGAGGGTTGATCGCCGATAGGCTAACGATGATCAGCGAAAAGGAAAGAAGCAGCGGTTTGAGCCCAAGAAATCTTATGCTCTAGTTCCTTGTCGCGATCGCGACAAGAGTCAATATACCCCTTTGAAAGCTTCAGTCTCTTCCATTCTTGACAAGTCAGAAGAGGCCGGCCAGCTCGGAGAACCTGAGCCCATGAAAAATCCCCCTTCAGCTAGAAACAGTAAAAAGTATTGTCGTTATCATCGGGATAATAGGCATCACACTGATGAGTGTCGAGCTCTCAAGCAGGCAATCGAAGACCTTATCAAGCAGAGGCATTTCAAAGAGTATATTGATGAATCTGCTTCCGTAGGGGAGAAAAATAGAGAGGAATCGGGTAAGAAGCGTCATGATCGCAAGGGTATCTGTAGCGTGGGGATAATCTTTGGGAGATCACACCTCGGAGGGAACTCGCGAGGTGCCCAAGAAAGATATGCTTACGCAGCCCATCACGACCCTATCCATGTGATAAACACAACGCAGCGACCATCAAAGGTTTGGAGACAGGAAGAAATCACCTTCTCCGAAAAAGACACAATCCGATTGCCTCATCCCCATAACGATGCTCTCGTCATCACGCCCCAAATAGGGCATTGCGACGTCCACAAAATGTTGGTGGATAACGGAAGCGCTGTGAACATCATGTTCCAGCGAGCTTTTGAAAGAATGAAATTGGATGAGGCCGACCTGAAGCCCGCCTCTATCCCTCTATATGGTTTTACAAGGGATCACCTAATCCCCAAGGGAATGATCTCGCTTCCAGTCACACTGGGTGACTCCGACAAGGTGACCAGGGTCATTGAATTCTTGGTAGTGGACTGACCCTCCGCTTTTAGTGGCATCCCAGGGCGACATCTACTAAGAAACTTCAAGGTAGTCACTTCGATCTACCATCTTAAGATGAAGTTTCCCACCCCGACGGGGATAGGGGAAGTAAGCGGATCTCAGCGTGCGTCTCGCGACTGCTATGTAAGGGCGGTGCAGATGGCGTGTAAGAGGAAAGGCATCCCACGTGGCATTCCCAAATAGGCAATGGCGATCAGTCGGATCGAACCACAGCCTGGCCCAGCCGAGGATAATATGGATCCTCGTATCCAAGAATACCCTTCCAGTGGGTCAATTGAGGATTTATCTGAAGTATCAGTCGACCAGAGCAAGCCCAGTGTTGAGGATTGGAAGCAATCTCAACCCCCAACTCGCTACTGACCTGACCAACTTCTTCAAAGAAAATATTGATGTGTTCGCATGGACGCATGCTGATATGGTCAGGATCAGCTCGAACATCATTTGTCATGCCTTGAACATCGATAGTGAAGCGAGGCCAATCCGCCAGAAAAGAAGAGCGATGGATCCAGAACGATATGCTACCTTAAAAGATGAGGTAGATAATCTTCTCCGTTATGGATCCATCCAGGAAGCGCTCTACTCGAGTTGGGTTACCAACCCGGTTCTAGTAAAAAAGCCTAATGGCAAATGGAGGACCTGCGTTGACTTCACCGACCTCAACAAAGCCTGCCCAAAAGATAACTTTTCCCTACCAAGGATCGACCAGCTCGTTAATGCCACCTCCGGGCACAAGCTGCTGAGTTTTATGGACGCATACTTGGGATACAATCAAATTTCGATGTATGCGCTGGACGAAGAGCATACCTCCTTTGTTATAGATCGGGGGCTGTATTGCTATAGGGTTATGCCCTTCAGCCTGAAAAATGCTAGAGAAACTTACCAGCGGCTGGTTAACCGAATATTTTCTGAGCAAATCGGGAATTCGATGGAAGTCTATGTTGATGACATGCTAGTCAAGTCGCATGTCGCTTCAGATCACATAGCGCATCTCGCTGAGATGTTCGACATCCTCCGGAAGTACAGAATGAAGCTCAATCCTTTCAAATGCTCATTCGAAGTATCATCAGGGAAATTTCTGGGGTACATGGTTAACTAGAGGGGAATAGAGATCAATCCCGAAAAAATCCAAGCTCTCCTCAACATGAAAAGCCCGACCAGCCGAAAACAAGTTCAGAGTCTCAATGGGCGAATAGCGGCACTCAGTCGCTTCATATCGAGGGCAACAGATCGTTGCTTGTCATTCTTCAATAGACTCAGGGCCAATAAGAAGTTTGAGTAGACTCCCGAGTGTGAACAAGCATTTCAGAGCATTAAAGAGCACCTCGGAAAACAACATCTTCTGTCCAAGCCTCTCCCACAGGAAATTCTCCTGCTGTATCTATCCGTCTCTCAGTACACGGTCAGTGCAGCTTTAGTTCGGGAAGAAAATAAGGTTCAATGGCAAGTTTATTACGTGAGCAAGCGTCTGCTGGATGCCGAGATACGGTATCCGAAAATGGAGCGGTTGGCTTATGCCTTGTTGATTGCCTCCCGAAAGTTGCAACCTTACTTCCACGCCCATACAATCCATGTAATGACCATTTACCCGCTCAAGCAAGTCCTCCAGAAGGTATAGGCATCGGGTAAATTGCTCAAGTGGGTCATGGAACTAAGTCAGTTCGATCTGCAGTATAGACCGAAAGCAACCATCAAAGGGCAGGTTGTTGTCGATTTCATCTCAGAATTCTCATATCATCCAATAAAGGAATCCGAGCAACAAGCCAGCAAAGTCACCCAGAAAACTGTTCAGAACCTATCGACCTGGAGCCTCTTTGTCGATGGGTCATCGAACAGGAAAAGGGTCGGGGTAGGCCTTCTCCTCTTGAGTCCCGAAGGGGCTCGCATTCATGGCATTCT